TCCTACACAAGTTGGCTGGCTGTTTTTCCAAACGGTCTTTACCCAGACCTCTGCAGATGAAGAAGGCACACTGTAGATGATGTTACAGAAAAATACGATTATCGAGAACCAGCACCAGAGGCAGAACATGCTATAATTCCAAGAAAGACAAATCCAAGATCCTGCTGGGTAATTTATTAGGAACTTGCTACAGAAGTGCAGTACTTGGTGGCCACAGGACAACTGGGTCCTTGTGCCACCAGGAAGGAGAACAGAGGTTTTTTTTTTTTTTTTTTTTTAAGATTTATTTTTATTATTTTTTCATTGGAAAGGCAGATATACAGAGAGGAGAGACAGAGAGGAAGATCTTCCGTCCAGTGATTCACTCCCCAAGTGAGCGCAACGGGCCGATACTATGCCGATCCGAAGCCAGGAGCCTCTTCCGGGTCTCCTACGCGGGTGCAGGTTCCCAAAGCTTTGGGCCGTCCTCGACTGCTTTCCCAGGCCACAGGCAGGGAGCTGGAAGGGAAGCGGGGCTGCCGGGATTAGAACTGGCGCCCATATGGGATCCTGGGCGTGCAAGGCGAGGACCTTTAACCACTTGCGCCACCGTGCCGGGCCCGAGAACAGAGGTTTTACAGGCAACGGTGGCCTATGGCAGTGTGGTGTACCTGTCAGATTAGCCTAAGGGAAAAGGAAGGAGAGAACGGGGAGGGAGGGAGATCAATGGATCTTCATCCGCTGAACCCATGCTGGCTGTCATGTGTATCTGGGTCCAGCCAAGACGAGGAGCCTGGATCTTAGCCTGCAGCTATCACATGAGGCCTCAAGTATCTGTACCATCACCTGCTGCCTCCGGATAGGCATCAGCAGGGTAGCTGGATTGGAAGCAGGGTAGCTGGGACTCAAGCCAGGCACCCCAAGATGGGATGCGGATGATGTCAGCAGTGCCTTGAGCACTTTGTCTCTCACTCCTGTGAGCAGGGTTTGGGATGACTCCCAGGATAGCGAATGGGCAAGATGCCAGCTAGGCCCAAGATGGTTGTAGTCATGACAGCCACAGCCCTCAAGATGGGGACATCTTTGTGCATTTCCTCATTGACTGAGATCTTGTACTGCTGTCCAGCCCCCTGTCAACCCATGTTAGATCATGCACAGCTTTGCTTGCTGTTCCATCTTAACCTGATAGCAAGGATGAGGACAATAACTGCATGACTTTTCAGGGGACTGATACAGGATTATATTTAACATGTTGATAAGTTATAAAATAGCCACCCCCGCAGGAGGGTACGAAAACCAGGACAGGGGCAGGGGTGGCTAGACAGAAAGGTACCCAACAGCATCTGTGTGGGATGGATAGTGGAGCTGGTTAGATGGAACTAAGCTTAAATGCCCATTGACATGTATGAGAGCTGAATGGGATGTGGGACAGACTGGACTAGTATGCTGCACATAGTGGCAAACCAGGGTAGGGGGCGGGCCTGGTGGGGGTTATTGTGGGTCGCTCCGACTAAGCTGTAGCCCCCACTGGTTTATGTGAGGGCCGAGTGTGTGCTGCGCAGAACCAGGCTGGATTGCAACACCCATTGGTTCCAGTGGAAGATAGCACTAGAAACAGAACTGACCCAGCAATTGCAACCACCAGCTGATCGGAGCAATGGACTGTGCCGGGCCCTGTACTTCCAAGTACACACAAGAACCTGGTCTGGGTTCACCTCAGACAAAGTTTCTTTAGGGATCCCCTCAATCGAACTGTCGGACTCAGATCCCTAACCATGAAAAGATAGAGGACAGAACAAATCAATCAACTACCCCAGCCATATGTTGGCAGTGAAAAACAGGGCAAACGGAGACTCTAAGATGGACTACGTCAACCAGTAGATTCTTCAATGACCTCATTGTGCTTCGAGTGGCAAGACAGGCAGCAATTCATAACTGTTGAACTATCAAAACCACTTGAGCAAGACCCTCGGAGCATGCCCCACTTTGGGAATCTGGGGGGGTTGGAGACTGGGTGGGGCTTCTCCCTTTATCTCCCCCTTTACCCCAAATATAGAAAAAAAAATGTGGATAGTCTTACCCACTTTCCTGTAGCCCTTGAACCTTTGTGCCCTAATTAACTATGTAAAGATTGTCAAAAATAAAATAAAAATAGCAATTATAATCTTCTATAAAATACACATGTGAACTTTTGGTAACTAAATACATTATCTTGAGGTTATGAAAGGGAATGTTATTAAGTGTTAGAAAAGACATTCTGGGGACCAGCTTTGTGGTGCTGCCACCTGCTACCCGGGCATCCTGTAGAAGAGCTGGTTTTCAGCCCATTCTCATTTCAACCCAGCTCCTGCTAACGCACTTGAGACAGCAGCAGCAGATGGCTGCTGGTACTTCATCCAAGCACCTGGACGAAGCTCTGAGCTCCTGGCCTCAGCCTGACCTAACTCCAGTTGTTGAGGAGCAGCATTTGTTGCCTGCTAATGTGCTCATCAGCAAGCAGGGAACAAGGATTAGAATCAGATTCCCAGCACTCGAACCCAGAAACAACCATATGGGACGTGAATATCAAGTGGCATCGTCTCCACTAGCCCGAATGTCTGTGTCTGAAGATTACCTAGTAGATACTGGGGATGCACTATCCAGTACTGACTGCGGAGATGGGGGAGAAGGAGAGGAGGCAGAGAATCCAACTCCCCAGAGCCCGCATGCACACCAGTTGTCCCAGCTAACTCACAAATGTGCATGGAGGTGGGATGCATCAGGGTAGCAGTGACAAAGCTGATTCCATCATCCTAGCTTGCCCTGCTGTTGACACTGGGCTGGGAATTTAATTCCTTAGCCTAGTCATCCACAAAGAGATTTGCTAGAAAAGAATTTAATGTTTCAGGCCTGCCACAATGGCTTAATTGGTTAATCCTCCCCCTTCATGCAACAGGATTTCCATTCATGTCTGGAGGCCTCGCTTCCCATCCACCTCCCTGCCTGTGGCCCGGGAAAGCAGGAAAGGACGGCCCAAAGCTCTGGGACCCTGCACCCACGTGGGAGACCCGGAAGAGGCTCCTGGCTCCTGACTTAAGATCAGCTCAGCTCTGGCCATTGTGATTACCTCGGGAGTGAGCCAGCAGAGAGAACTCTGTTTTTCCTTCTCTCTGTAGATCCGACTTTCCAATAAAAATAAATGTCTTTTAGAAAAGGAAAAAGGATTTAATGTTTCGAAGGGGATAGAGAGGAATTATTTGACAGAACAAGAAGACCCTAATGGTGAGAAATATGCGCAGGCACACAGGCAAGCACAGAAGATTCCAGACTGTCAGTGGCCAGAGGAAAGGGACATCTGGAAACCAGCCATTAACAAGGACATGTGCACCCCAGCTCATCATGGCTGCCTGCACTCAGCAGAGCTAGAGCGTGTGGGGGGGGGAGGGAGGGTAGAGCTCAGAGCCCCTTTCTAAGCACAAAGCCACGCAGTCGCACAGACTCCGCAGTGCTCAAACGCCCACAAAGACACTCCATGGGCTGCTGTGTGCTACTTGGGGCCGAGCCAAAGGAGCCCACAGAGGCTGAGACCTTGCCCAAGACCCTACCTCATCTCCTTTGCTTAGGAGTTTAACACCAGGAGGGATCTCAGGGGCCACCCAGCTCCATTGCTGGTTTAGGGACCAGCTCACCACAAGGTGATAGCATCCAATGGGAGCCAGGGTTCCCCACCTCGAACACTTCTCAGGCTAAAACTGGCCGGCTGAACGGTGTACATGGCTCTCGGGTCCCTTCTCGACACATGATCTCATTGAACTAAAAATTTATGCCTCTGGACTGCGGGCTGAAGTACAGCTATTTGTTTCCCTTCCCTGGTTGCAAGTTAAAGCAAAGCAGGCTTCATTAAGCCAATTGCTTGTCTCCAAACAGTGTGTTAACAAGCTTTTAGATGGTGCTCCAGCCATCTCGCCTCTCTGCACAGGTGAAAAGGCCCCGATCCATATGGTCTCAATTCTTGCACATTTTCATTTCAGCTGCTAAAGTTGACAGATCCGCTAGGAGCAAATGGGGTGCTTGTTACTATCTAATTACTCTTAACATGAGTCACAGCCCATTTAACCACGTTAGACGCTTGCACTGACACAGGCATCTAGGCCACTGATTTGGGTTCTCTCTCTGTCTCACCACTTGTCATTGCCTTCTGCCTCTGTGGTATTCTCACAGTTCAGTGTGAACCGGCAACTCCCTCCTTCCAGCCAGGGCTATCCATGTAAAAGCCTCCCTCCTGGCCACTTGGTTCTTCCCCAAAACACTGGATGACAAGAGAATTACAATGTCAAACTGGGAAGCTACTAGAGTTGTTGCGTCATTGTTCTCTGGTCCTCCCCGGGTTGGCTCTGGCCGTCCCGTGGTCTGGGTTGCTGACGCAGCAGCAGGGGAATTTGGGAAACTAGAGTTCTAGCGAGGTGCCCACTCACACTGCCAGTTCTCTGAGCACACACAGCACCTTCATTTCCTCAATCTGAAACCCAAGATGGGTCATGACACCTTGCCCCTACCCTTACAACCTCCGCGTGTGCTATGTGTGAGCACACTGTGTCCTTGGAGGACAGCATCTGGGATGGAAGACCAGGAGAAATCCAACAGGACTGCTGCTGCGAACACAACAGGCTTGGTTTTCAAGGAACTCCTATCAATGGTGTTCTAAGGGATGAAGTTCAAAGTCGTATCCCTTGGGTACATTCAGAGATAGAGATCGAGAGGCAGAGTGCTCACCTCGGGCCATCTGGTGACAGCAACATCCTTGGCTGACTTCCTCGGTGCGCCGAGTTCTCCGAAGGCAACGCGGAAGGACTTCAGGGCAGCCAGGTTGCTGTTCCGTGAGACAGGAACAGGACGCACGGCCTCTGCAGGCAGCCAGTAGAGGTGCCTGACTAAGTTCTAGAACTCCTCGGACGAGGAAGAGGCACAGTGTGAGTGGAAACCATCACGTTACCAGGTCAATTTTATTAAAACAAACAGAAACAAAATACAGGAAGAGCAAAGAATTAAAATGATTTTAATAAAATTTGTTTACATTTGTACATCTCGTGTATTTGGGACCCAATCAGGGAAGAAGGAATAAGTTGTGGGGACAAAGGTTTCCATGGCAGGGTCAGCAGAGAGAGCAAGGCCACCCTCACTGTGCACCGGGCATTCAGGTTGGAGGGGCGGTGCTCAGCCCCTTCCTGCCACTCCGGGACACCCAGTTCACCACGTACATGACAGCTTTGCAACTCCAAGCCCAAGGTGCCACAGCCTAGGTGGCACTGCCGCATGAACGCGTGCCAGGCAACAGCAGATAAACACTTCGTCAAACTGGGAGTGTGGCCCACGGGATACTGACGTCAACTGAACAGCGCTCACGCTGTTTCTGCACTAGAACAATTGCAGCAAACCCACTGCGGGTGGGGGAGTCAGAGTGACAGTCCTACTTGTTCTATTCAACAGCACAGTCACAAAAGAGCAGGCCAATAGAAAGAACCCTGTGTTTTCCCTTAAATATATTTGAGAAAAGGGTTTTCTAGGAGTTGAGGGAAGGTTTCGAGAAAGGTACGGTTTGTAGTATACTATTATGCACACGTTTGCTTAGAACCCTGCCTGTTCGGTTAACGGATTTAGAGGAGATGGAAGACCGTTCCCTCCTGATTCCCATTATCCAAAAAGGCAACAGACATTCCAAAACGTGGATCGATGCTCCCAGAGAAGTCCAGTGTCCTCGATGGGAGGAGAAGCAACCCACAAGCTTTTTCTTTTCCCCCAAGATTTTACCCATTTGGTGCACAGCAAAGCGGCGCTTTCCAAAGTGCATATTCTGGTAACTTGTTCATTGAAGGATATGAACTCCAACTCACAAGCTGTAAAGACAATCTATTCAGTCAGACGGCCACTCCCTTATCCACGGGGTAGAACTCATATGACCCAGCTTTGAGCTTGCACCAACTGACACAGCACACAGTTGAGCTGCAAGGGGGAATTTTGTCATCGCTTCTTCATTAGATAACCAAAACGGGGGGGGAGGGAGGAGAGGGGGATAGGTGCCAGCTCTTCCCAATTAATGCATGGATGTGTGTCTGCATCTTGACCCACTCGGAACCCTAAAGGAAAACTACCCTGACCATGATCGGTACAGGGGACATTTTTTAAAGGATGAAGGATGAGCTCTCTAGGCTTGGGCTAATGCTGAGAGGGTGTACCTGGGTCCATCCTCATCACACACACCCACCCACTCACGTGTGTTGCCCAAGCACCGCCGTCAAGGGGCTAGCGTCTAACGGAATCAGTGAGCGGGAGACCCACAAGAGGGGCAGGGTGGCAGCGAGCGCTTCATCCCACCAGTGACACACACACACACAGATACACAAAAGGATGCTGTGCATTGGGATGGCTGAGAGGCGCTTAGTGCAACCAGGAAACCTCAGGGCAGGGTGCCCACAGTGGGGGTAGGGGAGGGGGAGGGGAAGTAGCCTCAGGGAGTGCTGGTGCATCGTGCAGCGGCCCCTGGCAGGAGGGGCAGGTCCGGCCCTCCATCCGGTGCCCAGACAGCTTCCTCCAAGAAGCGGGAAGTTAAAACCGGCATCTCCTGAGAAGGCTCGGCCCAGTCCCTGCACTGGCTCAGGAGGAGGTATGTGTTAACAAGAAAACGCAAGCCCAAGGACTGGGGATGGGTGGATTTCTAACCAACAGGAAAACTACAGTGACGACACAGAAGCAAATAAAAGTGCCCAGGCCCATGGGCCAACCGCAGACCTTCCTGCCAGCCGGGCAGGGCCACAGTGGAGGGCTGCGGCCCTGGGCCTGCTCATGGAGCAGCGTGGGGCTCCCCGTCTCCGCTGTCTTCCTCTGGATGGAAAGTACTGTCTCTCTCATGAGATGCTCTCCTGCTGGGGAACTGGGCACATGGGGATTCACCTCTATGGAGTGGTCGGGTCACAAAGGTGCAATCTTTGGGAGTAGGAGTGAAGGGGCTGGGAGCTAGCCAGGGTGTAAGAAGGAACCAAACTAGTTCCCTTGGGTCAGCCGTTTTGCAGGGCAAGGGCAGAACCTCCGTGGGGCGAGGTGGCCAGGTGCCCAGCCCGGGGCTCAGATGCCCAAGGGCAGTGTGGCTCCAGTCCATGCTGAAGCCACACGTTTCCAGTGCAAATGGACATCTAAAACTGGGGGCGCAGTCCCCCACTTGTGTCTGGATGGCATGAGGATGACTCTCTTTTCTAACAATCCCCCCCTCCCCAAAAGGAGATCTTGCTTGGGGTCACCGTGTCCCTGGACAGCCTGCCTTAGGCCTGTCTGTGCTTTCCCAGAGTTTTCCATGAACATTCGGACAGCGGTCGGCAGTGCAGGGGCCTCTCATGGACCGACCTCTGCCGGGTGCACGGTCAGCCATTCGCCTTTCGTCCTGGCTGGCACAAAGCACGGAGGCCACAAAGGTCTGTTCTCCGCGTCCAGCAGGCTTGGCGACTGGCTCAGGCGCCGGGATCTCAAGTCCGGGTGTCCGGGCTGGGGGCACCAGGGTCCATGTGCCTGCTGGCCGCACAGTGCGCATGCACGAGGCCGCCGTTTGGGTATCTGACAAACACCGGCTCGCCGAAAGGGTTCTGGCACAGCTGGCAACGCTTCCTGTCCGAGAGCCGAATTGCGCTTCCTTTCAACTTCATCTGGAAACAGAAACCCACACTGTGAAAGCTGGTGGAGACAAGGGACCAGTAACGGAAGGGGCCACCTTCCAGGGCTTAGTGCTGGCACGCCGAGCCCCATCACCCCTCCGACCAGACCCATCTTTGCATCAGCTCCATAAAGCAGAATATGAGGGATTCAAATGAACAAAACCATCTCCAGTCACTGAAGAAGTTAAAAAAACCAAAAAAAGACACAACCAACCAACCGACCAAACAAAACTAAAACTACAAAAGCTGCTTTATTTCTGTCTGGCTGAAGCATCTCTACGATGACCCTCCCTACAGTCTCCTCTGAGCTTTCTTCATCTCAAGCTCTTGCCTGTTAGAAAATCAGGAGTAGAGTCTGCATTGTAGGGCAGTAGGTTAAGCTGTCACTTGCCACAGTGGCGTCCCATGTCACGGTGCCGGTTCAAGTCCTGGCTATTCCATTTCCAATTCCGCTCCCTGCTAATGTGCCTGGGAAAGCAGCAGAAAATGGGAGAGAAGCCTGGGTTTCTACCACTCATGAGAGAGACCTGGAGAGAGCTTCTGGCTCCTGGCTGTGGCTCCTGGCTCTTGGCTGGCTCCTGGCTGTGGCTCCTGGCTCTTGGCTGGCTCCTGGCTGTGGCTCCTGCCTGGCTCCTGGCTCTTGGCTGGCTCCTGGCTGTGGCTCCTGCCTGGATCCTGGCTCTTGGCTGGCTCCTGGCTGTGGCTCCTGGCTCTTGGCTGGCTCCTGGCTCCTGGCTGGCTCCTGGCTCTTGGCTGGCTCCTGGCTGTGGCTCCTGCCTGGCTCCTGGCTCCTGGCTCTTGCCTCTTGGCTCCTGGCTGGCTCCTGCCTGGAATCCTGGCTCTACCGTGACTCCTGGCTGTAGCTCCTGCCTTCTAACTCCCGGCTTCTGGCTCTGGCTCCTGACTCCCTGGCTGGCTCCTGCTCTGGTGCTAGCACAGCACCGCCCGTTACAGGCATCTGGGGGGTAAATAAGTGGATGGAAGATTTATCTACCTCTTTCTTTTTCCCTTCTTCTCTGTAACTCTGCCTTTCAAACAAATACATCTCAAAAAAAGAAAAAGTTACAGCTGAATAGGATCTACTGTGCCATTTGATTCCCTGCTCCTTTCATTCGCAAGTAAGAGGAAGGCACAAACGAAGGACTCAATCGAATTCATGTGATAAATCAGAGCGTATTCCTCTTGGTTCCTAGGGAGCACAACTTCATTTCTTCAGAGATACTAAGGAAACAGGGCTGTAAAGGATTGGCTTCCGTCTAATAAACAGGATCTGAGTTTTGGAAGTTACAGGAAGCCCGCACGATTCATTGAGGCAACCCGGTCTATCAGCAGAATCAAGCAATAGCGTCTTGCCTGATTACATTCTGGAATAATGCTTCTAGCAATTTATTTATCCCATCTCTCAGTCAAAAAATCATATATTACATGCCTGCGACACGCCATGTTAGGCTTTAGTGCTGGGGTGGGGAATGCTCAAGCCACGGGATTAATCATTTGGTCTGGTCCTGCTAAGAAAACTCTACGTAGGACTTGAAATTCAATAAATCCACATTTTAAAGTTGATAATTTTCGCCTGCCAATGATGTTGTTGCACATAGCCAAATGGCCTTTGGCAGAAAAAAATGTCCCCCATCCCTGCTCCAGAGAAATACTCTCTGTATTCAATTTCCTGCCCTCCAAGAACCCAAAGGAGAGTGAGGGGAGGCAATCAAGAAGTGTCTTCTTTTAGAATTATCTTAAGTGTATGCTGGGCGAAAGGGAAGGTGATGTCCCTGCTGATAGGTTGTAAGGTGGTTTCCTCATCTTGCATGTGCTGGGATCCCATATAAGTGCTGGTTCTAATCCCAGCTGTTCCATTTCCCATCCAGCTCCCTGCCTGTGGTCTGGGAAAGCAGTCAAAGATGGCCCAAAGCATTGGGACCCTGCACCCACATAGGAGAACTAAAAGAGGCTCCTGGCTTCTGGCTTTGGACTGGCTCAGCTCGGCCCCAGCCGTTGCAGCCACTTGGGGAGTGAACCAGTGGATGGAAGATCTTCCCCTTCTTCTCTCCCTAAATGTGATCTGCCTTTCCAATAAAAATAAATAATTCTTAAAAATTAGAGAAGATGTTGCTGCTGCCTGGTCTGAGCCAGTGTTTCCTGGCTTCAGTGACAGACTTTGGAAGTGGGAAAGGATCACGTGGAATTTCTGCACTAAGACTACCACACTGCCAGACTTCATGAGAACAAAGCCTCCAGAAGAGGAATATAGCTTGGCCACCTAAACGTGGGGGGTTCTGAGCCAGCCTTGGAGGACCTCTGGTCCTCCATGTGCTGACCATGAGTTCCTGGTGCCCCTGTCTCTTCTATGGACTACATCAGATGACAGTGGACATTTCTGCGGTGATGGAATGACATCATGGCAAAACGTGTCCGGCATGGGGCCAGCCCATCACCATGCTGGGTAAGTGTCCTCTGTTTTGACTCCTTTCTGCTGTCTGCAGCCTTCCTTACAGGCTCTGCTCTTTCTCAGAGTGTGAACGAGGAAACAGCTCTGCCGACGTGCCACCTGCCAGCCCAGCCTCTGCCTCTGCCCACAGAGACCTCAGTTCCTGCACGAATAGGAGTGGGATCAGACATTTTAGGACAAGTCACCCAGGGAGAAGAGAGAAACTGACAGAGACCATTTTTCTTGAAGCAAACCTGCCTTCCAGAAAACACCGAAGCAATCAGGAAGGGACCCTATATTCAGGAGCAGGTACTCACCTTATCGTACATGTAGAGCAAGTTTTCTGACCTGGCTAAGCCAAGGGCTACCTGTGTGGTCCTCCTCGTATGCACACTGTCTCTCATGGCCCCGGTCAGGAAGGGGCAGAGGAGCTGCACAGACCAGGAGCCGGGCAGCTGCTGCAGCACTTGCGCCGCATCGAACTCCAGGGCATGGCGGTTGAGCAGGTCCACGGCAGCCATGGTCAGCTCGTTGGCAGAGGGTCCGGCACGCAGATACAAGGTGAGCAGCGTGTGGAAGAGGCGGCGGCGGCAGGCCGCGTCACGGCCCTCGGAGCGCCACAAGCAGTAGTCCTCGGCCGCTGCAAAGTCCTTCAGCTCGTGTACCAGGATGTGCAGGGCCTTCTCATGCTCACCCAGCTTCCCGTGCAAGATGGCACTCTCCATGGGCAGGCCGGCGCCCTGGATCCTCTCTGCAGGACAGAGTGACATTCAGAAATGCAACCAAGTTCCTGCTGGCCTGAGCTTCGGATGGGGCCGAGCCAAGCCAGCTGCCCCAACGACCTGGTGGCTAAACATTGCCAGCCACTTGCCCGAGGGGATGCTTGCTTGCCTTTCCCGCAGCAAATCCAGCCATTCAAACAACACATGACACACATCCCTAAGGGAAGTGACAAGGATCTCCCAGGAGCCCCAGAAGCCACCACGGCTCCAGCTTGCCAAGCCAACCTCCGTTAGTCCTCTCTTCCCAGTGCCAGTATCTTCTCGTCCACAAGTCGCCCCGCCATACGCGGGGATCCTCCGCAGACACGTACCCCCAGGATGCTCGGGTCCCTCAGAAACAACCCTGCAGTATTAGTACCCTGTGCACATCCTCCCGTGTACTTGAACCTCGAATCCCTGACACAGTGTAAATTCTGTGTGAATAGCTGCTATGCCACACTGTTTTGTAAATAATGAAAAAAAAAAAAAAAAAGGAAATAGCCTGCACACGGTCAGCAACTTGCTCATATTTTTCTTTCTAGAACTCAAAACAATAGAGGGCCGACTACAGGAAGATGATCTTGAGTCCAAACTTTACCTCTCCCAGATGGTACACCGAATCCCTTTATTTCAGCTTAAAATACACTTCACTGAAAGGAACATGGTCTCTGAGTGTTCAAAACCCACACTACCATTATTCAACAAAATGTGGAAAAAGAAAAGTATCTTTTTTTTTTTTTTTTGAAGATCTTCCGTCCGATGATTCACTCCCCAAGTGACTGCAATGGCCGGTGCTGCGCCGTTCTGAAGCCAGGAGCCAGGAACTTCCTCCAGGTCTTCCATATGGGTACAGGGTCACAAGGTTTTGGGCCATCCTTGACTGCTTTCCCAGGCCACAAGCAGGGAGCTGGATGGGAAGTGGAGCTGCTGGGATTAGAACTGGTGGGATCCTGGCTCGTTCAAGGTGAATACTTTAGCCACTAGGCCACCGCGCCAGGCCCGAAAAGTGTCTATCTTTGGCAATTCATCTTCCAGGTCCTAAGGGTAGGGGGACCTGAACAAAGCTGTGAGACTAGCAAGCTGAGCGGCACCAGCAAAATCAATGTGTTCCCCACCACACCTATAAAAGGGGACAATAACAAAAGGTGTCTCCCAACTCTGCAAGGGCACTTCAAGGTCAACTCCCAGTTCAGGGCCAAGGTGAACACTCCAGTTCTAGGTCTTTGGCATGTGAGGAGTGGCCACTCTCGGGGGGGGGGGGGAGAGTCACAGGTCTGCAACTTGTGACCAAGACACGCCTCGTGTCATAGCAAGGGCTTCCAGCACCTCTTGCGCTAGAGGCATCGGTGTCACTGTGGATGCCAGCAAAGACATGCCATTTCAGGCACAGGGAGAGAGGCAAAGATGGGCAGGAGAACTGGTGACCCGCATCTGTTACACACATCATCTCATTTATACTGGAATCTCACACCCACCCTGAGTGGGTAGGCTGGGTGTCCATACACCTGACAAATAGAGACACAAGGCAGTTTGGGGGTTTCGGCACCCGTTGTGTCCTGAAGCATCCCCAGGCTCGTCTGTCCTTGCTCCAACGATGCCTGCTCCGGAGAAGCTCTCCCAGGCCCCTCCGCCCCAAGTCTAGAGATTCATTTCTGAAGATCAGAAGCAAGTCTCACTCATCTTGACATTCTCAATGCACCACAGTGCAGAGAACACACTACACGCATTCGAAATTGGCAGACTTGAACGCATTGGTCAACAACTAATGGCTGACATCTGTAAAGCCAAAAGTGTTGAGACTATAGCAAAGATATTTAACAACTGGCATGGGTCCAGACCAAAATGCTTAACACTATAAAGACACGAAAGAACTTGGGTGGGTGTTGTGGTGTAGTAGCTAAGTCGACCCCCCTGTAGCATCAACATCCCACACGGACGCCAGCTCTCGTCTCAGCTGCCTATCCTGCTCTCTGCTAATGGCCTGGGAAAAGCAATGAATGGCGGCCCCAAGTGTTTGGGCCCTTGTCACTCACATGGCAGCCACACGAAGTTCCAGGCGCCAGCCTTAGCTTGAGCCAGTGCTGGCTACTGCAGTATATGGGGAATGAAGTAGTAGATACAAGATGAATTCTTTTTTTTTTTTTTTATCTATGTAACTCTGATCTTCTAAATTAGTAAACTGTAAAACAAATATATTTATCAATTTTTATGGCATGGAGGATCACATTGCACATCAGCCCTGCAGCAGGTATAAAGAACAACTAGCACTGGCTGCGCACACAGAACCCTCAGCTCACATCCAGTACCAAAGCCCACAGACTGTGAGGCCAACTGGTCAACCTCTCTGGGCCTGGGAAGGACAATAACAGGATTTCCTCCATGGGGTTGCCAGGCATCAGACATGGCCCCAGTGAGGAAGGGGCAGATGAGCTGCCCCATCCTGTGTGCTCGGTATCCATTTGTGGATTCATGCATCTGCCTACTTGATGAACTGGATCTGTAAGCCCGAAGGCTGACACTCGCAGCAAGACGAAGGGCAGAGCACAGAGAAATGCCAGCTGAGCGCCTCAGGAAAGCTACACTTGACCTTGCAGTTTCAACTCCCATTTTCCACACAGAGCTTTGTCATGACTAATGTAACACTTGTTCCCTTTTGGTCCTGTGGGTGACCTCGCTGAGCACAGTGCCACCGGGCATCCGAAGTGCACGAAGGCCGTGGCGCCCCTCACGGAGACAACGCGTGTGTTGGGTGAGTTGTAAAGGAGGGGAGCTACTGCGCTGCAGGCTGTGGGGACGAAGGCAGCGAGGCAACAGCGTGAACCTCATCAGGCATCTTTAAACGATGCCGATGCAAGGTGTCTCCGTTTCTATCACTCTTTCACACGAACACATCTTTGAGAAACACACAGCAACTTGTGGTCTCTGCGCCTCTGAGGAACCGAACATCCGAAGTCCGTCCATGATATCCACACTGGCTTGCCCTGGCTGAGGACCCAAGTGGCCCCGAGCCTTGGGCAGCAGACAGTACCAGTGGGCAAAGGCATGATCGAGCCCAGTCGCCTTCTGTACGGTTCTGCATCCACAGATCCACTCACCAAGGAGCAAGCATACTCTGACGACAACGCAACTCTGCTGAAGGCGTACAGGCTTTCTGTCAACACTCCCTGGACAGCATGGTCTGACAGCTCCTGCTACAGATTGTGCACACAGCACTTGGTCGCATAAATGACCTACGAATGACTTCAAGCTTGCAGAAGGATGCATGGAGGTCATGTGCAAATATGACACCAAAGGACTTGGGCATGCACAGATTTCGTTATCCCTAGACTGGAGAGGCTGGGAGAGTCCAGGCACCATTGCCCAATGGACACCGAGAGACAACTGTCCTAGAGTCATCCAAAGGAACTACGCATGATTCAGCACTTCAATGATGGGCCAAGCTACTGAAATGAAAGCCCAGCCAAGAGATGCAAGGAGATCCAGAACCCGACAGGACACCTTCAACGTCATCAGTCAAAGGCACTGTCCATTGTGCCAAAATGGCAGAGCAGACTGATCATCCGCCCGAGGGGCCAACATCCCAGGATGCCAACCTGGCACTGGTTTAGTCCTGGCTGCTCTGCTTTCGATCCTGCTCCCTGCCAATGGCCAGGGAAAGCAGCAGAGGATGACCCAAATCCTTGGGCCTCTGCTTCCACATGAAAAAACCCAGAAGCAGCTTCCATGCTTCCAGTTTCGGACTGGCCCAGCTCTGTCTGTTGCAACCATTTTGAAAGTGAACCAGCAGGTGGAAGCATCTGCTTCCTCTGTGTCTTTCTTCTTTGTATGTCTTTCAAGTTAAATTAAACAAACAAACAAAAAACCCAAAATCTTAAGAAAGGAAGGAAGAGAGAGGGAGAGAGAGAGAAAGAGAGAGAAAGAAAGAATGCAAGCAAGCAAGCAAGCAAGCTGCTGCCACCTGGGAATGTGGGAGCAGAAGACACTTTGCCCCTCTCTCAGGAATCAAGCTGGGAGCTCGGCCCCAGCCTGCCTGTCTCCCCCAACCCTGGACATGCATCCTGCGCACAGACAGAAGACGAAGTGCATCCTCACCCAGCAGGAAGTGGACTCGGTACAGGTCGGACTTCTGGAGCAGACGCCGCAGCTTGGCCTGGGTCTCGCTAGCTTCAGCCTCCTGGCCACTGCAGGGCACCCTCTGCCGCAGCACCTCGTCCAGGTAGAGGACGGCTAAGTGAGTGTGATACTCTTCCTTCTGCAGGACACAGGGAGCCAAGCAGAGAGGGCATCCACGGGTCAGCAGCCGGAGCCCTCCGGGGGAGCCTCCACACAGAGCTGGATCTAAATAAGGGCCACAACAGGATGAGGGGTTCTACACAGGGGTGTGACTTCTCTTGTCTCCTTTGAGGATGGGAAAAGGCAAGGAAAAGAGAAAAAGAATGGAGGGCACGTGGACATGGGATGGAGACTTTTTTTAAAAACAAGAAAGGCTACTGTTCTCCAGGGACTGTGACCACGCGTCAGGACTCCCTCCGGCCATCGCAAGGACAAGCATGATACGAGGTTTCTCCGCCCACGAGCTGACGGCACTCGTTCAGGCAGCCTCGCTCTGACTCACCTGCAGCCTCCTGTCGATCACGAGGTGCTCCAGGTACTTGACCAGGGCTTTGGGGTACTTTTTAAGGCAGCTGATGATGTCGTCCGGATTGAAGCAGTTCTGTGGTTCATCCAAAGGCCTCTTGGTGAAAACCTGAACTCCAACCTGAGGGGGGGACAACACGGTTACTGTGCATTCAAGGCCACCTTCTCTGGGCTCTGCACACTTACACGCCGTGGTAGGCTTTTGGCCTAGTAACCGATGAAGTTGCCCGTGTCCTACACTGGACTGATCGGGCGCCTGACTTTTACTGCCGATGCAAACACGAGGGGGCAGCACTGAGGCGTCAAGTAACTGGACTCCTGCCACTTACAGCAGCTCCTAGATTTGGCTTTACCCACTGCTGGTCTTGTGCACATTTAGAAAGCGGATAGAATCGCTCTCTCTTTTTCTCAAGTGAACAAACAAGTAAAAAAAAAAAAAAAACTGTCTTTTAAAGCAGTGATTTGATACGCTAAAAGTGTCTAGCTCTTTGCATGTCAAGCCTACGCTAATGAAATGGTTAACAAATTACAGCAAGAAGCATGGACAGACCAGAAAGCATTAAGCAGACAAGGAAAGGCACCCAAGACACACTCCTCAGACAACTACTGGAATTTCTCTCAAGAGAGTTGGAAGAAGGTTCAGTGCGAGCGAGGCCTTCGAAAAAATCCATGGCGGGCATGACACGGTGGCCTCCTGGCTCAAGTCCTCCTTGCCTTGCATCAGCCAGGCTCCCACACAGGCACTGGTTTTTGTCCCAGCTGCTCTACTTCCCTTCCAGCTCCCTGCTTGTGGCCTGGGAAAGCAGTCAAGGACGGCCCAAAGCCTTGGGACCCTGCACCCACCTGTGTGGGAGAACCGTACGAGGCTCCAGGCTCCTGGCTTTCAACTGGCTCAGCTCTGACCATTGCAACCACTTGGAGAGTGAGCCAGCGGATGGAAGATCTTTCTGTCTCTCCTTCTCTCCGTAAATCTGACTTTCTAATAAAAATACATATATTTTTTTTTACAAATCCATGGATATGTATATTACAAAAAAAACTTTTTTGTACCAAAATATAGCTTTTCTTTTCATTTTCCTCTGAACTTGTTGAAGTTCCCTTGTGTAAGCTTTTCCAGTTATGACTTCAGGGTTCCCTTCTGGGAACCTCACGTGGCTGTCAGAGCATTTAAGAGACGACATACACTACCAGCAAGGATTCTGGTATTCTCACCAAAAGGAACAGCGAACGTTTGAGGATATAGATATGTCTGCCTTGATCTGACTGCCACACAACTCACATAACATCATTAAGATGTTACAGAGTGGGCCTGGCGGTGTGGTCTAGTGGCTAAAGTCCTCACCTTGAATGCACCGGGAGCCCAAATGGGCGCTGGTTCTAATCCTGGCAGCTCCACTTCCCATCCAGCTCCCCGCTTGTGGCCTGGGAAAGCAGTCGAGGACGGCCCAAAGCCTTGGGACCCTGCACCCGCGTGGGAGACCCGGAAGAGTCTCCTGGATCCTGGCTTCGGATCGGCATAGCAGTGGCCGTTGCGCTCACTTGGGGAGTGAATCATCGGATGGAAGATCTTCCTCTCTGTCTCTCCTCCTCTGTACATCTGCCTTTGTAATAAAATAAATAAATCTTTAAAAAAAAAAAAGATGTTACAGAGCATCCCATAAATGTGCACCCACCTTCCTTCCTTCCTCTTCCCTCTCTATCCCTTCCTTCCTTCCTTTCACTCTCTCTCTCTCTTTCATGAGGCAGAGACCGAGACAGCTTTTTCCCATCTGCTGGTGCATTCCTCAAATATCTGCCAACAGCCAGGGCAGGTTTGGGCTGCAGCTGGGAACTCAATGCAAATCTCCTATATGGTGGTGGTGGGGAAGCAACTCAATAACCTGAGCCCTCCCCAGTGCCTCCCAGGGTCTGCATGAGCAGGAAGCTGCCCTTGAATCCAGGTACCCTAACGCGAGACGTGGGCATCTCAATCCCAGACCAAACGCCTATCCTAACGCAACACAGCTTTTGTGTACCAATGAAAAACACATTAAAAAATTCATTAAGGGACTACCTGCCATGTGGCAGATTCTGCGTTTACTGTCATCTATGATCACTAGCAAGAGTGATATTTTTATTGGAAAGGCAAGTATACAGAGAGGAGGAGAGACAGAGAGGAAGAGCTTCCATCCACTGACTCACTCCCGAAGTGACCGCAACGGCTGGAGCTCAGTTAAGATGATCCGAAGCCAGGAGCCAAGAGCTTCCTCCGAGTCTCCCACGCAGGTGCAGGGTCCCAAAGCTTTGGGTCATCCTTGACTGCTTTCCCAGGCCACAAGCAGGGAGCTGGATGGGAAATATAGCATTTGGGAGACAACTGGCACCTATATGGGATCCCAGTGCATGCAAGGCAAGGATTTTAGTCACTAGGCTATCACACTGGGTCCATCCATCCTACTTTCCTTCCTTCCTTCATTATTTTTAATGCTTATTTATTTATTTATTAGTGCTGAGTTACAGAGAAGAGAGAGGAAGACAAATCTTCCACCCACTCGTTCACTGCCCAGATGTCTGCCATCAGCCAGGTCTTAGCAAGGACCTGTTTCCAGGTCTCCCACATGGGTGACAGGGACCAAAGCGCTACAGCCATCTGCTGCTTTTCCTAGGCCATGAGCAGGGAGGCAGCTGGATCGAAGTAGAATATCCAGGACATGAAGCAGTGCCTCCTGCAAGCGCGTCAGACAGAGGCTTTACCCACTACGCCACAATGCCAACCCTGAGCACACACTAAGGGCTGTGTCACAGGACTGCTTGGGCTTGCTGAAGCATGTGCCCTGAGACAGAAGGTCCACAAAGTGCAAGGAGCCTGACCCCGAGGATAAGCACAGCATGATGGAGGACACAGGCTAGAGCTTGTCAAAGCCATGGATGGCATTCAGAAACTGAGACCTGCTTTGAGACCCTGTGTCGGATGGTTCATTTTGTCTCTGCGGGGAGCTAATAAAATGCATGTTCTGTCAGTGGCGAGGACCGACATGCTCCCTGTCTGAGCCACTCATGCTGGTTCCTCTGTCGCCTCCTTCAAGGGGGGCACTGCTCAGCCTCCAGGACGGGCAGGCCCACGACTTCTCTGGCAAAGGTTGGGACAGAGAGCAGAGACAGAGCGCTTCCTGCCTGGTGTGGCCCAGGCCTGGGGAAGCTGTCTGTGGCTCAGTACCAAGCCCCCCAGGACCCTAACCTGATCCCACTGCACAGAAAACAAGCTCAGGCTGCGTGATGGGGCAGCCAGCCTCAAACCACAGGCTAGCGAGCAAAGTAAGCTGGCCAGGCTGCTCGCTTCTCTGTAGGGAGCAGCTGGCCCAAGAGGGAGGATCCTAAGCCACATGTCTTGGATGCAACAACATGTAGAATGTCCCTCTGGGCCGGAATGGAGAGAGCTCAGGGAAGGTAATAAAGGAGGAGCCGCCACCACCACAAAGTGGGGAGGGAGCTGTCAAAATGCAGCCTTTTTCAGCATCCCCTCAAAATAAGTAAGGATTTTTTTCTTCCAGTTTTATCTGTTTTTACCACCCCTGAAAAAGAATGCATTTGTGCAGCACGAACCTCTTGGCTTTTCTGCAGGACCCAGTCGGCATAGGTCCACACGAGCTGCTGGTCCAAGCAGTAGGTGAGGAAGTCAACAATGTACTCGTACAAGTCTGTGCGGGTGGAGTCTTGCACGTCTCCGTTCACGATGTTCACCCACAGCTGGAAGGGAAGACCAAGGGAGAGAGACAGAATGAGGGGAGGCGGGGCTGGGGGCACCTCCTAGGCTCCGTCACAGCACGAGGGGGGCGAGTGTTCACATCCAGAAAACACACAATTCAGCAAATCAAAAGCAGAATGTACAAGGCATTTCCTTCCCTTCTTCCTTCCTTCCATCCACCCACCTTCCCTCCCTTTCTCCATCCATCCATCCATCCATCCTCTCTCCCTTTCTCTCTCTCCATCCATCCATCTTCCCTCCCTCTATCCCTCTCTCCATTCATCTTCTCTCCTTCTCTCTCCATCCATCCATCTTTCCTCCATCCATCCATCCATCCATCCATCCATCCATCCATCCATCCATCCATCCATCCATTCATCTTCTCTCCCTTTGTCTCTCTCCATCCATCCATCCATCTTCTCTCCCTTCATCCATCCATCCATCTTCCCTCCCTCCCTCCTTCCCTCCCTCCCTCCATCCATCCATCCATCCATCCATCCATCCATCCATCCATCCATCCATCCATCTTCTTTCCCTCTCTTCCTTCCAGTTCAGTAACACAGCATTCACATAATAACTATAACTGTCAGGAGAGACGGATGTATTCAACACATGGGCATTTGATAAGATGCAGCTTGGGACTGCCTGCATCCCATACCAAGGTCTCTAGGCTCAAGTCCTGGTCGGCTTCCCATCCAGCTTCCTGCTGATCTGCACTCCAGGGGGTCAACTGCGGTGGCCCTACTACTTGGATTCCTGCCACCTACATGGGGGACCCGCGTTGGGTTCTGAGGTTCTTGCTTCAGCCTGGCCCAGTGGTCCCCTTCCCCTTCTTCTGCAAGCTTTTAGGGAGTGAACGAGCAGATGGAAGATCTCAGTTTCTGTTTTTCATCTTTTTAAATGAACAAAAATACATATAAAATACGCTTCTCCATGAAATAAACACATGATGATGGATGACACTGTGACAGAAGAGAAATTCACCTGCAAGCATCAGTCTGGCATTTCTATCAACTCCGCAACAGGAGCTCTCGATTTTGAGGTTGTTTTCCAGACTGGAACAGGCACTCTCTTCTGATGAGGCTGTCCCCTGCTGTCTCCGGCACAGGGCAGTCTGGACAGATGCCCACAGTGCAAAACCTTGCTATTTCACCCACAGAGTTCCCCATCGGGTTAACTGACGCTCGTCCTCAGCTCCCCAGAATGAGGCGGCATTCCCTGGAGGAGAGGGCTGCAGCCTGAAGAGGCTCCCGGTGCATCACTCAAGTGTGAGCCTCATCCACCTGTCCCACGGCCATACTTCTGCATCAGCAAGAGGCCCAGGAAGCAGGGCAAGCAGAACAGACCGTGTTTCTGATGGCAGCACCCCAGTGCTGCACAGGACACAGGTTGAACCTCTCTTATCTGAGGGACCAGGAGTGCTTCTGAATTAGAGTCTCTTGTGATTTTTCCTCTTTAAGATTGGGGAGAACTTGCATATTTATATATCTATATATAAAAAAAAGTATCTTGAGGATAGGACCAAAATGTAAACATGAAATTCATCTATGTCTTATATACCTTACACACACAGCCTGAAGGCAATTTTATATGACATATACTTAAAACAAAACAAAACAAAAACATTTCTCTCTTGGAAAGGTAAAACGGCAGAGAGAGATAGACAGAGATTTTTCCATCTGCTGCTTAATCCCCCAAAGACCACCAACGGCTGGGGCAGGTCCAAGGTAAAGCCAGGAGCCCAGAACTATATCCGATTGCCCACAGGGCAGCAGAGGCCCAAGTATTTGGGTTCTGTTGCTTTTTCAGGAGCATACCAAGGAGCTGGCTTAGAAGCCAAGTAGCTGGGACTCAGGCTGGTGCTCCAACAGGAATGGCAGTGCTGCAAGGAGCAGATTCACCTGCCTTGTCCAGTGTCTCCTCTCTCTGTAGTTCTGCCTTTCCAATAAAAAGAAAATTAAAAAAATGAGAGAGAGATGGGTCATTTTTAAAATAGAATTTTGCCACAGTGAAGATTTACTCCATAGGAATCTTATTCCTCTACTTTTTTTCTAAAATTTGATTTCCGCTTTCTTGGAAAAGCAGAGATTGAGAACTTCCATCCACTGGTTCACTCCCCACCCCCAATGGCTGCAACAGCCAGAACCGGAGCCAGTATAGCCAGGAGCCCACACTCCATCTGGGTTTCCCAAGCACTTGAGCCATCACCTGCCACTTGTCACCTCCCTGCATGCACGTGAGCAGGACGCTGAGCCATCACCTGGTCACTTGTCACCTCCCTGCATGCACGTGAGCAGGACGCTGAGCCATCACCTGTCACCTCCCTGCGTGCACATGAGCAGGACGCTGAGCCATCACCTGTCACTTGTCACCTCCCTGCGTGCACGTGAGCAGGACGCTGAGCCATCACCTGTCACCTGTCACCTCCCTGCGTGCACGTGAGCAGGACGTTGAGCCATGACCTGTCACCTCCCTGCGTGCACATGAGCAGGAAGCTACAACCAAAGCAGAGTCGGCTCTTGCACCTAGCCCCTCTGAAACGGGATGTGCGTACTCCAAGCCATGTCTTCGCTCCCACACAGAATGTCTGTCCCATGAGAGGATCATCTTTTCAAACATAAAAGTTTCACTTCTGACACCCCAATCCACTTTTTGCCACAGTTTTTTTTTTAAAACTGTGCTCTGCAATCATATTAGCATGCAGTTTGTCAAACAAGCAAAGATCACCTACACGTGTGCCTTTGCTAAAGTCATGACATTGTCTTAACCTTGACGAACACAGTTGACCTTCGTGGGCACTCACAACACAAACAAAATGGGCAGAGCATGGAACCACTGCACAGCGCAATGGGAGTGGATGACAAGGAAGTGGAGAGAGTCTACGGACAATGAGATGAGATCTTTCCCCGAGCTCAGCAGTAAATGTAAGACACAAGACAAAGATCGTTACATCGGGTATCACCCTAGATTCAGGTGCAGCGTCCCCACCAAGCCATCTGGAGCTCTGGTCCAACCCTTGTGACTAGGGTGTGGCCTTCATGAACTTGAGCTCTGTCCCAAGGGACGTGGTGAGAGTTACTCGCCCAGGCCACTGGCAAGAGCTGATGTCACTGACAATGGAGACTCTGCCCTCAGTGCTCTTTACTGTCTGATTTTCTGAAAAGGCAGTGATGTCACGTCTGTGGCTTAGTGGGGGATCACACATTAAGCTAACCGCATGGAAGCAGAGGAGAGGGGGATACTGAGGACGAGATGGGTGGAGGTTGGATAACGGGAACCAAAGCAGAGAGCAGCGGCAAGTTGTGGCACTTTACAACGCAGCTGAATGACTACACATCACAATTTTATGTACATTGCACAAAGTGCTTACAGAGAAGTGTCCAACAGAAAGAAATGGGAAGTTTAAAGAGATGGACATATTAATTAACCTGTTTGATCATCAGACTTTGCATCAATCAAATTACCCCACGGTATTCCCACAAGTATGTACAATGACTACGGAACAATTAAAATGTTTTATTAACAAAAATAAACCACTTTTTCCATGCTTCAATTTTTACAAACTCTTGATCGTGTTCTTTAGAGTTATTAAGTAAAAGAAAAAAAAATCTTGGCCAACGTTTGAACCATGTTATTTTTGTTCTGATGGTAAGCCAGGGAAAAGGGGTTCCTATCATTTATGGGTTTTTTTTTAAAACCAACACCAAGCTAAATGGCTTTAACCTTCACATAATGCTGGAATGCATCTGAACTCACCTGGACTGCAGCCGCATCTTGGTTATTATAATGGTAGAGTAATCCAAGTGCAAAGTACCTGAAAGAGAACCAGGTGGTCAGGCCAACCGCCCGCTCTCACCCCCGCCGGCCACTCCGCACCCTGCTCCTGGCCCTCGGTTCAACTCCAAGAGTGGCGGGGTGGGGAGGAGGCAGACACAATGGCTCACTTGGCTAATCCTCCCCCTTCAAGTGCTGAGATGCCAGATGGGAGCTAGTTCGCATCCCGGCTGCTCCATTTCCCATCCAGCTCCCTGCTTGTGGCCTTGGAAAGCAGGAGGGAATGGCAATTGGGGACCCAGAGAAAATTCCTGGCTTTTGGCTACAGATCAGCTCAACTGTAGTCTCTATGGTCATCTGGGAAGTGAACCAGTGGATGGAAAATCTTTCTCTCTCCTCTGTAAATCTGCCTTTCCAATAAAACAAAATAAATCTTAAAAACAAAAAAAAACCCTAAGAGCAACAGTAGGTTTCAAACAAGAGCATCCTCATTTTGGCCTCTTTGTTTACAATACCAAAAAATGTACATTTTGTCAATATCCTAAAAGGACCTGCTTCTAATCCTGAGTTGGAAAACTACAGGGATACTGTGCTATAGGAAAAAAAAATGTTTTACAGTTTGTTTCAAATACTAATATAATTCCATGTCTCTTAAACTAACTATTATTATTAACCCCTCACGTGGTATTGAAAGAATCAGCAGAAGCTATACTGAACTGGAACACAGGGAAGGAGTAAACGCCAAACAGGAACGCTAGACCACAGAAACGGCAGGCAGCCCCAAGGGAGGCCTCCCAGGGTTCTAGAACCTGAAATTTCAAAACTCAAGCTTATCAACCATGCAACCCTGCATAAGCAGATTCTCTTCCCTGGCCCTCATTTACAGTTAGAAAGGATTAATAATGACACTGGCATCCTTTGGGCTGAGAGTCCTCCACACCCTCAGTCCCTGGTCATCTTCCCCGCCAGCAGGTGCCTGGAGAAACTTGATCCTGGGTGATCGAGTCTCTCCACTCAAAGAATGAAATCTCAAAATGTTGAATCTGCAAGAATCCTTTTCTTTAACCTTTTAGAAAGTTATGCTGACTCAGTGGATCCCACTGGACTGAGATCACTGTCATCAGTGACAACTGAAATCCAGAGGCTAAAATATATATATATATATTTTTTAAAGATTTATTTTTATTATTCTTTCATTGGAAAGGCAGATATACAGAGAGGAAGAGAGACAGAGAGGAAGATCTTCAATCCGATGATTCACTCCCCAAGTGAGCACAACGGCCAATACTATGCTAATCCGAAGCCAGGAGCCTCTTCCAGGTCTCCCACGCGGGTGCAGGGTCCCAAAGATTTGGGGCGTCCTCGACTGCTTTCCCGGGCCACAGGCAGGGAGCTGGAAGGGAAGCGGGGCTGCCGGGATTAGAACCGGCGCCCATATGGGATCCCGGGCGTGCAAGGCGAGGACCTTAACCACTTGCGCCACCGCGCCGGGCCCTAAAATATATATTTTTAAAGATTTTATTGCTTTTTATTAGAAAGTCAGGATTTACAGAGAGAAGGACAGACAGGAAGATTTTCCATCTGCTGGTTCACTCTCCAACTGGCCGCAATGGCCAGAGCTGAGCCGATCCAAAGCCAGGAGCCAGGAACTTCTTCTGGGTCTCCCACACGGGTGCAGGGTCCCAAGGCTTTGGGCCGTCCTTGACTGCTTTCCCAGGTCACAATCAGGGAGCTGGAAGGAAAGTCGAGCACCCGGGATACGAACTAGCACCCACACAGGATTCCCAGCAGATGCAAGGTGAGGACTTGAGCCACTAGGGGCTGAAGCCAAAATATTTTTAGGTGTCAACATGATGCTCAGAAAGTTTCAGGTTTTGAAGCACTGTGGAAAAACTGCAAAGTGTGCAGCACGCCCAATCTCAGCATGTTGGATAAGGGGTACTCCACAGAGAAGTCCTCCCTATAGCCTCTTTGAGTACCTGCTGACACCTGCTGGAGGGTCCGGATGGGATCTGGCACAGTAACCCCCATGGTCTCTACAGGATTTCATCCGGACTGTTGCCATTTCAAATCATCGACAAAAACCACAGACAAAATTCCTATGACTTAAAGGAGGGATCACCTAATCTCTTGGACCTGAAAAATCTAACTATCCATCTGTCTGTCTATGAGGCAGACAGAGCTGCCACTCACTGGTTCACTCCCCAGGAGATTGCAATGGCATGTCCAAAGTTGGGAGCCCGGAGTCAGGAATTGAACCCTAGCCTCCCATGTGGGCAGCAGGAACCAGGGTGACTCCCTGGGCCACCACTGCTGCTGCCCAGGATCTGCACCAGCAGCAAACCAGAGGTAAGGCATCAAGGCTTACCAAATCCAAGCATTCTGACGTGGGATCCAGTGGGCATCTTGAAAACTGCTAAGCCAAATGCCTGTCCCTTCACCTTCGTGTGTGAAGGTGAAACTTGTCTAAGAAAACAGGCTGAGAAGGATCGGGCTACCTGATTACCCAGGCAGAGAAAGAAGCCCCCGGCTCTAGTCACCCGCCCAGAGTAAAGCCACCCACTAAGTTGCGCACGAGCCAAGGCCGAGCTTTAAAACACATCCTGTATCAACTCAATCAAGAATCCTCAACAAAGAACGGTGTGAGAGTGAACGTCCTCCAGGACCCCGTCATCAGCACCTGCTGGCTTTGTGCTGTTACTGCACAGATCCTAGAGAACCCAAATGTCATGCTGCTCTAGCCAGCCTCCGGAAAAAGGGGTCTCAACGTGGGGCACAGCAGGGCTGGGCAGGACCCACAGGGCCGGCAGAAGGCGAGCACTCACTTCTTGTGCTTCTCCAGCCAGGCAGCGCTGTCCGTGAGCAGACAGAAGTTCTCGGTGACCAGCAGGTCCAGCAGGCTGTCGTGGTCAGCCTCTGCATACAGCTTGAGCAGGGCGGTGTCGATGTCTTCCTTGTAGCCGTTGGCTACCTCTGTGCTGCGCACTTCGTTCAGGTAGCTCATGAGGAAGCGCTTGCACTTGGCCATCTTCTCCTGGTCCCCCTGGGTCAGCTGGTTGAGGTCTGCGTACTCGTGCAGAGGAGGGTGAGACCGGGTGAATGAAGAAGAGGTGGGCAACAGGAAGGGGTAGAGAGAGATCAGCTCCCGGACATCAAGCTGGCCGCTTCTGCAATTACAGTGTCAAACTAAATGAAGCAAAAAGAGAGAAAGAGTACACATAGGCACACAAAACGACACTGGAGGGGAGTGCCCGTGGGCACATGTTAGCGGGGCTGGGGGCGGGAGGGGCGGGGATGGGGCATGTGGCAAGCACATCGCAAGGGCCTTCCTAAGTGGCATCAAACGGGGCGCTGACACCAGGTCGGGGGGCCGAGGTGTGCGAGGTGTGAGACACACACAGGAACAGTGTGGGGTGGCAAGGATTTTGGCCTCAAACACCCCATCCACACTGCAGGGCTATACCTAAATGCTTTGGGCCAGCTGCAGAAGCCACAGCTCCTGTCCTCTGCTGCTCCCACGGCCTTGGGGCTAAGGCATCAGTTAACCATGCTTCTGGGGGGATACCTGGACAGAGCAATACCTGGACAGAGTTTTGTTCTGATGGACACAGGCCAGGGGTGAGACACATGCCCAAAAGGAAGGACCATCTTGTCCCCAAAGCAACATTGGTGCCACAGTTGAGTAATCCCAGCTTAACGTGAGACTCTGGGAAACTTCTACTCATTGCTGAAGATCCAGGACAAATGTGGTGAAGGAAGGCTCCCCCCCGCCCTTGGCCAACTTCAGCCCATATGATCAGCTTTGCAAACTGGCAAGGGTACACTATAACAGGAGGGCCGCCTGTCTTGCCCTTCTATCCTGAGCTCTGATGCTCCACCTGACCTGTTGAGTGACAGAAGAGCCGCACCCAAGGCAGCCCCCAGCACAGACCCCAGGATGTACACCAGGTGAAGGTCACAGCTGTTTCGGCAGCCTCCAGCATAGATCCTGGGATGTGGACCAGGTGCAGGTTACAGCTGCTTTGGCAGTCTCCAGCACAGAGCTGACAGGGACTCCATGCAAAGAGGCAGGACTGAAAAAATGAACCCATGGCTAGTGAGCAATGTTGGCTTTGGACAACAGAAGGGCAAGGAATACCACCCTGGTCTCAGGAGTGGTTTCCTGAAGCACTGTCTATCACATGCATGGCAAAGGTGCAGGAGTGGCCCATGATTTACAGTCAAGCTGTTTGTCCAGAGGTGGACAGGCAGGCACCCTGCCCCTATTCTCTTACAATTCAGGAGCCTGTCCTGGAAACGCATCCAGGGTCTATCAACTCATGATATACACGTGACCTTCACTGGGGGAGGGAAGGTGTCTGTGAGACACTGTAGGAAAGAGCTAGATCCAGAAAGGCAAAGAATCTGCTGAAACTCCAAGGCTCCTGGTTCTTGAAGGAAGAGATGGCAGACAGCAGGTCACAGCGAGCATCCGGTTATGGACATTCAAGGCCTTGTAAATCAAGCAAGTTCACCCTCGCTTAGAATCTGCTCTCGACACCCAGTTTTGAGAGCCATGGTTGGGGTGCTTCGGGGGGAGGGGCTGAAGAGCAAGGCTGGGTCCCCTGCCAGGATCAAGGGACAGAGTTACAGAGTGGTGACCCCACTGGCTCTGGAAAGGGCTTCCCACTGGACAGAATCCACTCCAGGGGATGCCATGAAGGCCGGGTCCAAAGGCAGTGCTTTAAGGAGACATCTGAAGGTGGTCACAGGAGCTGTCACAAGCTTCTGCAAGGAGGGCTCATAGGTCCCGGGCACCTGCTGCCTCGGGAATCATACCTGCTGGGCAGGTGCTTGCAGGATTGCCATGGGGGAAGGCATGAGGACAGACTGAGAGAGAGAAACAGAGAGAGAACGCAACCTGTTCAAGCCTACAGGTGAGCTGCCACAGATGCAAGCTCACCCACAAGACCAGAAGGAACTTCCTTAAGAGAAACTGAACTTCTCAAGACAGCTGATCAGAGGTACTGCATTTTTTTAAAAAAATGTCTACAGAAGAAAAGTTCCCATAAGTTCTGGCAGAAGCCCCCACTCCTTCCCTAAACTCACAGGGATCCTTGTACAATCTCTGGAGAAAAGGAAGTGTGAACAGTATCTCTGAGACATCCCTCCCACGCCTTCAAACACGCTCCATGCCTGCAGGAGGCTTTCTGTCCCTCCAAGCCCCTACCCTTGGTAAGACACAGGATAGCTACACGAAGGCTGGGGGCAGCCAAGGACGTGGGGGAGCCAGCATGGGGTGCCAGTTACCATAAAAGTCACCAACGTTTCCAACGGAAGCACAAGAGACCCCCGCAGCATCACACAGGACCCAGGATGTGGGTGGTCTCCCTGACCACAGGGGACATGGGAGTGCGACTCCGGCTACCAGTACCACAAATTACCTGAAGAGCTCTTTAGCTTCCAGGAACTGAAGTTGTGCAAACTGTATAAACCCGGCCTGCTGCAGGATCCTCCTGTACATGATCTGCAAGGAGAGAGAGGTTGCACCTCTTAAGAGAGAACCCAAAGCCACCCAGCAGGGGGCCTGCATTTCTCATTCACAAACCACAGAAAGTTACGAGGTAAGGCAAAAAAAACAGGGCATAGATGAAATTATAGGACTAGTCGCCTCTCAGAATCTAAACGCCCTTGCCTACCAAAATCTAAGACTCTAAGGATGCTCCGTGTGTGTGTGCGTGCACGTGGAGCTGTGGCTATTCAGTGTGTGTGCGTGTGTAGCTGTGTTTGCACAGATTTGTTCTCAAGCACATCCTCTCATCTGCTCTCCACCTCACTAATCCACACGGCTTCAGTGCCAGCTTCTACCACCAGCTGCTTAAATGCTAACAACCTCAGGGTCTCTGGCAGTTCAGGGGCCGCTGAAAAGCATGAGAACAAGTCCGCTTCTCTCCCTGCACGGGCTACAGCTATCTCAAACCGGGGCCTTCAACTCTCTGGGTTTATTGTCAGCTCCTTCGCCTTTCCAAACCCCCAGGGTCCTGGCCCGGGTTCAGCTCTATGAGCATTCTCCTTGCTGCATCACTTGGTGGTGGGCACACAGGCACTTGGTGGTAGGCACATAGGCAAGGGGAGAGACCATGCCCCAGAACAGGAAGCCAGAGCAAGACTGGGCATCCGACCCTTTCTGAGGGCAGGGTCCCTCGCTGACCTGTAGACCCCGACTCACCTCCACCTCCTGAAGGTGCCACCTCCCAGCAGCACCACACGGAGGGCCAAGCTCCCCAAAGCAACTTATGGGGACATGAAGTTTGCATTTCTAATAATGTTGAACCTTCTCCAATTGTCCTGCCAGATCCGTTTGCCTAATTCTATTACACCTGTGTGTGTGTGTGTGCACTAGAGGGTGAATAAATCCTTTCCTAACGAAAAAAAAAGGGGGGGAGAGGTGATGTGGAAAGAAACCATCTTGCAATTAGCAGCCCCAGCACCTTGACTGGGGCAAGAGCCAGTTCCTCAAACGTAGCCCCTTCAGTGGCCCCTCTTGCTCAGAGGCCAACTGGAATAGAGTGATGGGGAATAAAATGACGCCATTTGCTACAACTGAGAAGTATGATCTCACATTGGAAATCTTTTTTTTTTTTTAATTTTCTTTATTTTTGGAACTCTTTTTTTTTTGCATTAATTAATTCATTGATTTGAAAGGCAGAGTTTAGACAGAAGGAGAGACAGAGAGAGAGAGAGAGAGAGATCTTCCATGCAATGGTCCACTCCACAAATGGCTGCAATGGCCAGGGTTGGACCAAGCTAAAACCAGGAAGCAGTCGGTGCTGGGGCCCACTGAGTACAACCCTTCGCTAGTTTCTTGGGCACAATTGTGCCACTCACTAAATACCCTCCGTGAGCGGGGCTGGGCCCGAGCCAGGAGCCAGCAGCTGAGAGCCGAGAACTCAATCCGGTGGCCCCAAGGGTGGCCATCTACCTGAGCCGTCATCACTGCCCCCCCGGGTCGGCATGAGCATCAAGCCGGAACAGGGGCAGAGGCAGGAGTTGAGCCCCCTTACCCTGACGGGGGATGTGGGCAACCTAACTGTTGGGCCAAATGCCTGTTTTGCTCTTTTTGCTTATTTGTTGAAAAACACGGTTGCTTAGTTATTGCCTACATAGGAAGCCCTTTTCAAAACGCGTTATGTAGAACATTAACACCATACATTCTCCAGTCTGAAAAGGCAATCTGTCCTGATTAAGTTTGTATAAACAGATGTGTAATTATGTATGTGTATACGCATAAATGATGATACATGAAACATATAGGCAAAACGCATTTACATGCAGCACACAAAAAAATATATACCCATATAAATAAAATGATGATATCCTCTCACAGAGGAGGTAAAAATAAGAGAAGAACCTGAACACCCGTGCAAACAGGCTGAGGGGCTCTCTGCTCAGCTGAGTGAACAGAGCCCATTCCCGGGTCAGCAGCATGAGTCTGGGACAACACAAGGGCAGGGCAGGGAGCAGGGCACGCGAGAACAAAACTCGGCCCAAATTTACCAAGCTGCAGAACCAGACGACCCCTCTTAAGGGATTTGTGACCATAGATCGCTACTCCTGGTAAAGAGGGGAGGGGAAACAAAGCCAAAACTAGGTTACAAAGACTGAAAGCCTCCGGAGGCAAAAGCCACAAACTAAATGTGTACCTGGTGTGTGGGCAGGGAGGGGATGTGCCCCAGGGAGTCTGAGGCTGCTGGCCGGTGCCTCCGGACGCGGGCCTCCCCTGGCTGTGTGACCCTGTATGCATTCTACAACAGCACAAAGGCACAGCACCTGCACCTGCACCACAGCCGCTGTCTTCTTCTTGCTTTTGCTGCCCCCTGCTGAACACGAAGCGCTCAGTCTTAAACAAGAGTCCAATGTCTTAACAAGGGACCAGTGCCCGGGGCGATGCACCTGCCAGTTATCCTGATGTGACTGTCACGTGCTGTGCCTATGCTCAACGATCACACTGCACCTCGTGGATATATACAATTCCCACACGACAAGCAAAAAGGGAAAGTGTAGGCTTTTCTTTTGTTTTGTGTTGTTTAACTGTGTTTAGGAACAAGTATATACAAAAGGCGCCCCCTTTGTGATCCCATAACCATACACATCACACAGCCTGGCTCTCTTCCTGCCCGCAAGCCCAACCTTTGCTACAGGAGGCATCGAGCTCAAAAACCAACCTTATGTTCCACAAGCAATCGCACAGTCAGGCACAGAACCTGCTGGTGTGAATTCATTGGATCTCGGTAAGCAATTTGGATATTTAAGTGCAATGTATATACATGCGCATACGCTTTCCCCATCCCACCCACGCCGCCCAAGATGTCTGACCTCTCTTAAACACACAGAGGCGCCTCAACAGCTTAACACAAGATGTGTTAGGCTGGGAACTCGGTGTCTATCAATTACAATTATCGTAACCATCACATTTAGTGTTTCTTAGGTGCACTAATTTTTCTAAGAAAATCTGCTCGATGTTTCCACAGCTTTCAATACTTTATGAACACCCTCCCCCCAGCAAAGCTTGTCCTATGGATGACAGACACTGAAACTTTAATTCATTCCCATCCCCATGAACCTGAACTCCTTCTGCTGATTTGCAAGAACTGTGTTTCTGAGTCTTCTCCGAACAAAGCTGATGGAGACACATAAGCCCATACGATGAACACCAGAATGAAGTCAGAAGCTCCAAACGTGACATCCCCATTGGCAGCCATGTCCCCGGCAGGCTGGGTAACCGCTCTGCAACCTGTTTCCCTATATCCAAAATGCAGATACTTTCAGAAAAGTATAATGCTGCCCCTAACACAGATCTCCATCTGAGTTCTCCATCCATGCTGTGAGCACGGTCCCAGCAGGGTGCTTACAGCTGCTGCGTGCAGGGTGTGGAGCTGGGGAGGGCCGACACAGGCTGCTGGCATGTGGGGGTCTTCTCGCCCGGGCACTCAGAGGCAGCCTTTCTCGTGACCAGAGAGTTACAAACCTGAAACTTTTCTTTCGGGATGTTCCGCCGGGCTCCTTTGGCCAACACCAAAGCCTCTTCCACTCTGTGGCTGGCAAGCAGATCCTGTATTTGTTTTTCCAGAGGCAATGGAACCAACATGTAAACTCCTTTACTCGTGGCGACAATCACCCTTCCTGGGAAGAAATTCAACACAGTTGGAAAGGGAAGATGGATCTGGCCCTGGAGGAAACAGACTGCTTCCCCCAAACTGCTTTACCATCTGAGTTTTCTTTCTTTTACTCAACCTCATCACTTTTCCCAACAATTCCATTTTGGTTCTGGATTCGGTCACAAGAAGAGTAGTTTTAGATCAACTTAAATCCCTCCCCTGCCTGGACTCACTTGGTCCAGACATCATCGCCTTGTTCCCAGGTAGCCTGGGCTGTAGCTTTTACGTGTGCACAATGCCCTGAACTCATTCCTACCATTTAATGCACAGTCACATCAAAACGCTACGCGGCCCTCCACAGCTGAGCGTCACAAAAGCAATTCAACCAATGACAGATGAAAAATATTTGAAAATCAAAAGTGCATTTGAAAATGTGAACACCTTTTTCCTTGTTGTGTAAGAACTATTTACACTGCGTTTATACTGCTTTACATAACAAGAGTGATTTAGAATTAGCCTCAAGCACAGGGGAGGAAGGGTGTTTACACACTGGTACCTGTAGGTTTAATTAGACTTCATCTCATGACTTTAAGCACTTAGTTAATGGGAGAGAGCAGTGGTGGCTAAAGAAATAGGGTTCCTGGGCCCAGCATGATATCCTAGCAGATAAAGTCTTCACCTTGCACACTCCGGGATACCATATGGACACTGTTTCTAATTCCAGCTGCCCTGTTTCCCATCCAGCTCCCTGCTCGTGGCCTGGAAAAGCAGTCAAGGTTGGCCCAAATTCTTGGAACCTTGCACCCGTGTGGGAGACTCAGAAGAACTCCTGGCTCCTGGCTTCGGATTGGCTCAGCTCCAGCCATTGCAGACGCTTGGGGAGTGAACCATCAGATGGAAGATCTTCCTTTCTGTCTCTCCTCTTATCTGTATATCTGCCTTTCCATTAAAATATGAATAAATCTTAAAAAAAAAGAAAGGAAGGAAGGAAGGGAGAAAGGGAGAAAGAGTGAAAGAGAGAGAGGGAGAGAAGGAGGGAGAGAGAGATAAAGAGAGAGAGGGAAAGACAAAGACAGACAGACAGAAAGAAGATGGGTTCCTGCTACTTACACAGGAGAGCTGCACTGAGTTACAGCTTTGGCTTTTCCTTGGCCCAGTCCTGGTTCATGCGGGCAGCTGGGCACTGAGTCAGTGGATGGCAACCTTTCTCTGGCCCTTGCCTCTCAGAAAGTTAACCTGAGGACCACTGAGGAAATCTTAAATTTAAAACAATCAATTGTAAGCAGTGGTTTTTTTTTTTCCCAATGTGGTATCCAGGAAGGTATGCATAGATCAAACGCAGATAATAAAGCATTTTATAAATGGACTGAAGCATATGCAGATTTGCTGTTTGGGGAGGGGTTTGGAACAGGTCCAAAGGTCAAAGGTCCAAAGTGTGCTACACCTGGGCCAATGTACCCGCTCCAGCGGACACTGTGTCTGATCAAGCTTACATCCGCTGCACTGGAGACAGTACTTGGCACAGGGAGGGCCATGATTGGTGAACAAAACTCCTTAAATAGTAGATAGAACACGAAAGTCTAGGTCAGTTGCTGGTTGCAGAAAGCATGACAGCGAGCAACCGAGGAGCAGCTAGGGGATACTGAGGAAGTGGCACCCTACTGTGCCAGCAGGTGTGTGCTGAAGGAGCTGGGAGTGCGGGGGGGGGTCAGCATCCTGATGCCTTTCCTGTACTGCTAAACGACACAGGCAAAACATTCAAACGTGGTACCTACGCAGAGGGTTCACGTGGCGGCTCACTTCTTCTCTGTTAGCACTAACGCACGTTTGAAGGTATTTACGATGCAACTGAACAAACATCACAACAAACCCTTCCATCAGCTCGGGAAGTCCCAAAGATGAGACCGTCCCTGGCCGTGCTGGCAGCCCACACTCCATCCACCCTGCCAGAGCACACTAGCGTAGCCCTGAGCAGCTACAGGCCTCTTACCCAGGTTCACATGCCCCTCCCTCCCTCTCTTCTGGAGGGTTCTTTCATATCATAAATGCCTGGCTGACCCCTGCCCTTCCTGACTACAACAGGAAGTATATGCTCCCTGCTCACCCAGTGGCTCTTTGCACATCTCCATCAAGCTCTTAAAGTGTCACAACCATTTGCTCTCCCATGGCTGTTTCTCCATTGACCTTGCGGGCCTTGAAGCACACCAGCTGCGTGACAGCCATTACTGGTGTCATCACTCCTGCTCAGCCAGCCTAGGGCCCAGTTGCTAACGGGAACCATCAGAAGTGTCACGAGAAGAGGGGGCAGAAGTCACGTGCTCTCGGGACATCGGTACCTTCAAAGTCCTGGAGGATATGGCCCTCCTTGAAGGGCAGGGTCTGCTTCTGCTGCTGATCTAACATGCTGTGAACCGTGATGAACTCGTCGTCCAGCGCTATGACGTAGGGGAAGCAGACGGCTGCCCCGATCACGTTCTCCGACCAGTGCACAGGGGCTCGCTGGGATATGCCAGCAACGGTGGCAAACATGCCTAGAGCAACGAGAAGAAGAGGTTAGGCCAGCCTTCCCATACCCGTGCTGCTCTTTCCCCATGACGTCTTGGGATGCAGAACACGCCCCAGTTTGCCCGTACAGACTTATACTCCAAGAAAGAGAACAATGAGGTCGGGGTTGTAATGCAGCGGGTAAAGCCGCTGCCTGGCACACAGGCTTGCATCATGGATGTCAGCTTGAGCCTCAACCACTCCAGCTCTGCCCAGCTCCCTGCTAACAGGACTAAAAATGCAGCAGAGGGCAGCTCAGGTGAGCGGGGTCTCCGCCTGCCAGTGGGAGACCTGGCTGAAGCTCCCAGCTTCTGGCTCCCAGCTTCAACCTGGATCAGCCCTCGTTGTTGCAGGCTAGTACACCAGCAGATGCAAGATTGATCTCTCTCTCTTATTACTCTTTTTTTTTTAAGATTTATTTATTATTTTTATTACAAAGTCAGATATACAGAGAGGAGGAGAGACAGAGAGGAAGATCTTCCGTCTGATAATTCACTCCCCAAGTGAGCGCAATGGCCAGTGCTATGCCGATCCGAAGCCAGGATCCAGGAACTTCTTCTGGGTCCCCCACACTGGTACAGAGTCCCAAAGCACTGGGCCGTCCTCGACTGCCTTCCCAGACCACAAGCAGGGAGCTGGATGGGAAGTGGAGCTGCCAGGATTAGAACCGGTGCCCATATGGGATCCTGGCGCATTCAAGGCGAGGTCCTTAGCCGCTAGGCCACGCCACTGGGCCCTATTACTCTTAAATTTAAAAAAAATTTTTTTCAAAAATGTTTTATTTATTTTTATTGCAAAGTCAAAAATACAGAGAGGAGGAGAGACTAGAAGAAGATCTTCCATCTGCGGGTTCACTCCTCAAGCGGCCGCAATGGCTGGGGCTGATCCGAAGCCAGGAGCCAGAAGTCTCTTTGGGGTCTCTCACATGGGTGCAGGGTTCCAAGAATTTGGGCCATGCTCAACTTCTTTCCTAGGTCACAAGCAGGGAGCTGGATGGGAAGCAGGAGCCACCAGGATTAGAACCAGTGCCCATATGGGATCCCAGTGCGCTCAAGGTAAGGACTTTAGCTGCTAGGCTACTGAGTCAGGCCCCAAAATACTTCTCTTTTTTAATCTTAAAAAAAAAGTTGTGCCCAGCAAGGCAGTCTAGTGGTTAAGGTCCTCGCCTTGCACGTGCTGGGATCCTATATGGGTGTTAATTTGTGTCCCGGCTGCTCCGCTTCCTCTCCAGCTCCCTGCTTGTGGCCTGAGAAAGCAGTGGGTGATGGCTCAAAACCTTGGGACCCTGTGCCTAAGTGGGAGACCCGAAAGAAACTCCTGGCTTCGAATCAGCTCAACTCTGGCCATTGCAGCTGCTTTGGGGGTGAACCAGCCAACGGAAGATCTTCTTCTCTGTCTCTCCTTCTCTGTATAAATGTGACTTTCCAGTAAGATTAATCTTTTTTAAAAAATTGATGTAATACACTGCACGTGTTCAGAGCATACCCTTACGTAAAATTGGTATTTTGTATTTATTCCAAATTAAAACGGAGGTTAAAAACTATTTGCATCCAGCCCGCAGCAGGATTTGTAAAGCACAGCTGCTTTTCTTTTTTTAAAGAAACAACAGTCATCTATTATCTCAGCACACAGCTGTGGGGCAGTGGGCAGGAGCCCCGTCTCGGCTGGGCCCTGGGAGGCTGGCGCGGGGCACAGGGAGCAGGGAGTCATGACCCAGCGTCTCCTTTCCTGACACAGGCACAGGAGCACACAACTGCCTGAGCGAGCTGCTGCCCAGCCTCCGTCCATCAGCCATAACCAGGTCACTTGCCCGAGCCCAGACTCCAAGTGGAAGGACACTCGGAGTGCATGACAATGGGAAGAGTCCAGAGGGACGAGGGGTTCTGTCACGGTGGAGAAAGCCATGGCCAAGGCACTTCACCAGGTTTGCAAGCTTTCTCTTCCATCCAATCCTCCAACCAGTTATCCTGTGATAGCTCCCCTTCATGCACGCATTCAGCATGAATCCACCGAAAACCAGGAGGTGCCAGGCACTCCATGTTCAGAGTAGAGTAGCTGTCTGGTTTTGGATAACGGATTCTACCCACGTATTGAGCAGTATATGTATGGAGCTGGCAGTGAGGCATGGCATCTTAAGCTGCCACCTACACCACTGGCCTCCCATGCAGGCATCAGTTTAAATCCTGCCTGCCCCCAGCTAATGTTCTTGGGAAAGTGGCAGAAGACAGCCCAAGTGCTTGGGTTCCCACAGTCATGGGGGAGAAATCCTTAGCTCCTTGCTTTGGCCTGGCCATTGTGTTCATTTGGGAAGTGAACAAATTCCAACCTCTTGCTTATCTACTCTCTGTGTAACTGATGTTCAAACAAATATAAACAAGACTATGTGCATATTCTGCTAAGAATATCAAGGATGTGGGCCCAATATAATGGCTCTGTGGCTAAATTCTCACCTTGCAAGCATTGGGATCCCATGGACCCTGGTTCATGTCCCGGCTGCTCCACTTCCCATCCAGCTCCCTGCTTGTGGCCTGGGAAAGCAGTCAAGGACGGCCCAAAGCCTTGGGACCCTGCACCCACGTGGGAGACCCAGAAGAAGCTCCTGGCTTTGGATCAGCTCAGCTCTGGCCACTGGGCCACTTGGCGGGGGGGAATAAGCAGTTGATGAAAGATCTTTGTCTGTCTGTCCTTCTCTCTGTATACTTGCCTTTCCAATAAAAATAAATAAAGCTTTAAAAAAAAAAAGGAAAAAAGAAAAAAAATCGCAGACAGAGAGAGGTCTTCCATCCACTGGTTTACTCCCCCAGGTATCCCCAACCACCAAAGCTTAGCCAAGCTGGGTCTCCCATGTGGGTGACAAGGGCCCAAACACTTGGGCCATATTTTGCTGCTTTTTCCAGGTCATCAGCAGGGAAATGGATCAGAAGCAGGGCAGCCAAAATATAAACTGGCACCCAAATGGGATACCAGCAGTGGACTCACCTGCTATGCCACCACACCGGCCCCAAAACAAACTTATCTTTCAATTTTGTTTTTTTTTAATGAATTTTCCTGGAATATACTTGTGCAGTCACAAAATCTATTCACTCCATATGAACTTCTTCCAAACAGTTGATGACAAATGTCTTCGAAGGCAGCATGCTGTACCCTCCACAGATAAATGGCCTCCATTATAACAAAAGGGAAAGCAGGTGAGACAGTGGGCAGAAAACATTTCAGAGGTGAACCCAGGGAATTGGCACCTGACTCTGGGAAGCCAGGGAGAGAGAGAGAATGAGCCACTATAGGAGCATTGGGCAACCCAAGCAACCCTGGGCTCAAGCAAACAAGGAACCAGGATGCAGGACTGGGCTTCGTGAACCCGGGGGCGGCAGGCTTCTGGCAGAGGGGGCTGGAATTCAGGCGCTTTCTCAGTGGACAGCGCTCTTCCCAGCCAAGGACAAAGGGTTCCATGGGGCACACACACACAAAAAAACAGAGCAGAAGACAAGATACCGCAAGACAGAATATGTTGGGAGGGCCAACTTGTGGAGGCTGTGGCATGCCCTGTGTCTTTGGCATGTGCTAGAGTGAAAAGCGGTGCTAGGTAGAGAAGCAGTCACAAAGTTTGGCAGATAAACAGAGAAGAGTCCCTGAGAAGATTAAGATCCGTGAGGTAAGGCTGTTCCCCTAAGCCTGCCCCAGCGGTGCGACAAGCAGATAACTGAATGCGGGTGGTTTGGTATTTCCTATAACAGAGAAGCCATGATTATAAGCATCAGCAGAAGCCTCAAGTATTCTAACAGCATCAAACACGTCAGAGAAAAGCAATGACACACATTCAGAGTGTTTCATGAAGACAGAGCTTAACGGAAGGGAGGGAGAAACGTAGCTTGGCCCTAGCTTCAATTCTCCACGCCTTTAGAAACAGCAAGCTAAAGAGAGCTTACAGGGAAGAGGCTGCAAAGTGCTAAAGAGACCAGCACTGAGTAACCTCGAACCTTGTGCTGGATTTCCAGTCAAATACCATGATCTGGGCAGCAGAGATCCCATGTACCACGAACACCAATTACACTGTGCAGCGCAATCCACGACTTAGAATAAGGTCACTGCATTTACCAGCTTAAGGCTCAGAAGCACCTGGCCTGGGGAGTGCCCCATACACAGGCTGTTACTAATGCTCCTGAAATAGGGCAAAAGCCGGAGGTCAAGAGCAAAGACTCGGACCAGTGAGTGGCCCAGTGGGTTAAGCCATTTGTGATGCTGCCATCCCATATCAGGGCGTTGGTTCAAGTCCTGGCTGCGCCTCTTCAGATCCAGCTCCCCGATAATGTTCCTGGGAGAAACTGCAGAGGACAGCCCAAGTCCTTGGAGCCCTGCATCTACTTGGGAGAGCCAGAAGGAGCTCCTGGATTCAGACAGGCCCAGCTCCAGCTGTTGTGACCACTTGGGGAGTGAACTAGTGCATGGAAGATCTCTGTGTCTCCCGCGCCGCCCTGCCCCATAACTCTTTCAAATAAATAAAATTAATTGTTTTTTTTTTAAAAAGACAGAAAACCACTGGATGGCTTTCAGATGATTTCTGTAGCAAGATAAGCTTCTTTCCTGACTCTACTTCCCACAGTGCTCCCGGCATGCACCTGTAGTTGAACTGAAATTCCTCAGCATCTCAGAGTCCTTGGTCTTCTGCTTGGCTTCGACTCCTCATCTGCCAGTTTCTGCTCTGATCTTGTATTTTATGAGCTCTCTGCTTTGCCTTTAAGGGGAAGTCTGCCTTTTCTTTTTTCCTTTGGAGGGGAGATGATATTTATCTATTTGAAGGGCAGATTACAGGGAGAGATCTTCCATTTGTTAGTTTGGTCCCCGAATGTCCCCAGCAGAAGTCCAGAGCTTCTTCTGGGTTTCCCACGTGGGTGGCAGGACCACCTACTGCTTCCCAGAGTTCACAGGTGCAGGGAGCTGGTGGGAGCTGGAGGTGGGACATGGGGTGCAGGCAGCTGGAGAAGCATCT